GTGCTGAAACCTGGGGGCAAGGGGCGCCAGGAGGCACTTGAGCGACGTATGAAAACGGGTTTGACTGCGCCGACATTCGCGCGTAAGCTGCCCGCGTAATGCCGCGCGTAAGCGCCCTCGTTTCCACTGCGGCGTGCCGCGCTGGCGGCCCACGTAAGCCACCTCGTAAGATCGCTGTGCCATCTCGCGTAGAACCCGTATTGATTCGTCGCTCATTTGCAACGAATTCCGTAGAGGGTTGCGCAGGACATTTCACGACGAGTTCAACGTGAGGCTTATCGCACCCGACAACGATCGGCTTTTCGTGTCGGCCCTCACTGGGTCAGACATGGAAGACTTCGAAGCAATAGCAGACGAGTACTACAAGACGTGGGACATCAAGAGCTACGCGCTGAGCCTGCACATGAACTCGTCCCTGATGTCGAAGGTGCCCAGCCACAAGAGGGCCTGCATCGCGGCGTTCATGAGCGACGCGTGCGAGGCACCCGTCTGCGGCCAGCTCCTCTTCATGAACGAGTGGCTGGTGCAGAATCGGCCGAACTGGCTGGCCGAGCCGCAGGTCGGCCAGTGGCTCGTGGACACGACGCGGGGCTTCACCTCTGTGGCCCCCGGCGGGGCCGGCGGCGTGCGGGCGATCCAGCCCGCCCTCAGCGACCCCTCCGACGCGAGCAGGCTGATGCAGCTGCGGGTCGTGACCCAGGTCGGCGTCCTGTAGCCTGTCCCCATCTCCTACCCCGATCCCCACCATCCCACCACCCCCTTCGGGGGTATGCCTATGCCTCCCGAGACTCCAGGGGAGCAGCCAATATATCCCCATCTGGGGGGGTACATCGGCCAGTGGGGCCCAGGCCACGCCCGTGGGGATCGGGATCAGTGAAACGATGCTCACCAGGCCTTCTTCCTGCGCTTCCTCGACCGCGTGACACGTACGGTGAGGCCCGAGGAGGACGAGGACGAAGACATCAGCGCGTCCTCTGGGTCGCCTCGGCGGGTGACCCAGGTGAGCACTTCGAAGGATTCCGCTGTCGAGTCCACATCGAGGGAGCCCGTGGTCGAGTCCATGCCGAAGGGGCCCGTCCAGCGTGTCCCGAGCGACGCCCCGATGAGAAAGGCGCCGGTCCAGGACGAGGGCGGCGGCAGTGAGCACGACAAGCTGGAGGAGGAGGCGGCGGAGGAGGAGGAGAACGAGGAGGAGCCGGCCGCGGGGCGAGGGCCGTGCTACGGCAGGGCCCCACTGAAGCGGCTGGGGGGCGTGGCCCGGGCGCTCCTCGTGCGCCCCGGCCGCCCGGATCGCAAGGTGCTGGGCCTCCCGGAGGGACCAGAGTCTCAGTTGTAAGTCGGGCGTGTCCCTCCACAGGGGGACTATTCCAAGTTAGTCAAAACAAAATAATCAGGGGACGATGTTTTGTCTATTTTTGAGCATTCTGGGGGTATTTTCCCGGAAAGGGCGCGGGCCCAGGGTTCTCTTTTAGTAGGTTAACCCCCCGGCCCCCCTGCGACTTGGGCCGGCGAAATTATTCTGCGATAAATTACGTGCGGGAGTAGGGCCGGCGAATTAAAATTTGAGGATGTCTCGAACGAAACGCTTGATGTTCAGAATTTGTTGAGGATGTCTCGAGCGAAACGCTTGTTTTGTATTATATCTTGTGCTCTCCTGGGGACCTGAATTCAGAGGATCTCTCAGGTGAAATGCTTGTTTTCACGTGCCCAGGTTTTGAGGATGTTTCGAGCGAGACGCTTAGTTTTACGCCTCCAGGTTGTCCAGACGGGTGTCTAGCATGAGGATTTGTTGAGGATGTCTCGAACCAGAGGCTTGTTTTCACGTGTCCAAGTTGCCAGGCGGATGTCTAGCATGAGGCGGTGTCGAGGAAGTCTCGATCGAGACGCTTGTTTGCGCGTGTCCAGGTTGTCCAGGCGGATGTCTAGCATGAGGATGTGCTGAGAACGTCTTGAGCGAAACTCGTGTTTTCACGTGTCCAGGTCGCCCAGGCACAGCACAGCCCTCGGCACGGTACATCAATATCGATACACTTAGCATTGCAGCCTGGCACGTTGCCTGGCACGTTCCGCGGAGCGTCCCGTGGCGAGTCCCCCTGGCACGTCGCGCGGTGCACGTCCATTGGCTCGTTCCGTAGCGCGTCCCCCTTGGCACGTCCCGCGGTGCGTGCCCATGGCACGTCCCTTGGCACGTCGCCTGGCGCGTCCCTTGGGACGTTCCGCGGCGCGTCCTCCTGGCATGTCCCCCTGTCCATTAGCTCTGGGGCAGCTATATGTGCTGAGGCCGCTCGAGCTTAAGATCTAGGTCGGTTCGGTCAGGACACGTGTGCAAAGGAGGACTCGATCCACAACGCTATAGAGCACAATCGCGGCATGGCACGTCGCAGTTCAGCACAGCGCAGCACAGCACAGCCCACGGCACGGTACATCAAGATCGATACATTCAGCAATGCAACTTCGGCACGTTCCGTTGCGCGTCCCGTGGCGAGTCCCCCTGGCACGTCGCGCGGCGCGTCTCCTGGCACGTCCATTGGCACGTCCATTGGCACGTTCCGTAGCGCGTCCCCTCGGCACTTCCCGCGGTGCGTCTTCGTGGCACGTCCCTTGGCACGTCGCCTGGCGCGTCCCTTGGGACGTTCCGCGGCGCGTCCTCCTGGCATGTTCCCTTGTCAGTTAGCTCTGAGGCAGCTACTATGTGCTGAGGCAGCTCGAGCTTAAGATCCAGATCAGTTCGGTCAGGATTCGGATGCAAAGGAGGACTCGATCCACAACGCTATAGAGCACAATCGCGGCATGGCACATCGCAGTTCAGCACAGCGCAGCACAGCACAGCTCTCGGCACGGTACATCAAAATCGATACATTAAGCATTGCATTTGCCCGTCGCCCAATCAGGTGTCTTTCAAACGTTGCCATGCCTTACATTTCTATATTCCTTTCCGGGTTCGTGGGTCGATCATGTTTGGGGGGTATTTTTAGTTTTTCGCCCAAAATCGCCCTGTAGGGGGACACGCCCGACTTAATCTCAGTTGCCTCGAGGCGCCCGTTTTGAAACGCAACACGCCCCGTGTTCAGGACGTCCGTGTCAGTACGTTGCGTGTTGGCCCCACGTATCGGCCCGCGTTTCGGCGAACGTACCGCGTCGGACCTACGTTTTCAGTCCACGTGTTGAGCTCCGCATCAATACGCTACGTGTCGCGTGTTGCGTATCGGGGCAGCTCAAATCAGAGTAGATGGGGTCCGAGGATCGCACCGCATCGTCGATGCATTGGCGAATTGGCGATGCGGCTCGATGTGGAGCCCGATGTTCCCCACGCCGACCTCGCCGACGCATCGCCGATGCATCGCCGATGCGTCGCCGAGGTGTCGCCAATGCGGTGCGATCCTCCGACCCCACCTGCCCGAACCCCACCCGGGAGGCCTCTGAAGGTGCGCGCTGGCGCCAGGGGTGCGGAGGGCGCGGCCACGACCCCCCCGGCCCGCGAGAGCATCCTGGAGACTTGGGCAGCAGACAACGCGCATCATCGGTCTCCTCGTCGTCCTCCTCGTCGTCGTCCTCCTCCTCCATTCTTTTCCTTATAAATAATGATACCGGAGAAAAAACAATCATAATCTTGTTAGGGCTGTAGGGCTATAGGGCTACAGGGCTATATGGGCTCTCGGGCGCTATATGGGCCATTGGGCTATATGGCTATATGGGCTATTGGGCTACAGGGCTATAGGGCTATAGGGCTATAGAGCACCCCTGGGCACCCCCGGGCATCCGGGCTTCCGGGCGTGCGGCGAAAATCGGCGGCAAACCTACTTAACCTAACCACATGAATTCGCTAGGACCCCTACAGAGGCAAGCTCTGATTGGGGAATTTCTCCCCGTCGCACCCCACGGCCAGTTTTTAGGGCAGGCCAAGCGTTTCGCCTGAGACTTTCTCATCATTTATGATCACTCAGCTTCGAAGTTGGCAACCGTTTCTCCGATGGAGGGCGGATCGTTTTCAAAATGTGGCTCTCGCCTTAGCGCCGCGCAAATTTGGTTTAAACATCTGCAAGAATTTCACGCATTGAAGGCGGGTCGTTTTCAGATGTTTGCAGAACGTGGCTCTCGCTTTAGCGCCGCGCACATTTGATTTTTTCCCAGAACGGGCTTAGGCCCAGGGTTCTCTTTTAGAGGTTTACCCCTGGACCTGACTTGAGGTGGGCCGGCGGAATTATTCCCTGATAAATATCGAGGTCGAGGTGGGCCTGCGGAATTAATTGGGAGGATGTCTCGAAGGATGTCTCGAGCGAAACGCTTGTTTTCCAGAATTTGTTGAGGATGTCTCGGGCGAAACGCTGGTTTTGCAGAGTTGGGGATGTCTCGAGCGAAACGCTTGCTTGCAGAATTTGTTGAGGATTTCTCAAGCGAAACGCTGGTTTTGCAGAGCCGACCGCGACGCGGAAAAGCGCCCCGCGCGCAGGAATTCCAAGGATGTCTCGCGCGTGCCGCGTCCCGCACGCAGGAATTTCGAGGATGTCTCGACTAATTCGTTTGTTTTGTTATGATTCCTTTGAACTTTTGGTAGGAAGTCTCGAGCGAAATGCTTGTTTTTATACAATTGGTTGAGGATGTTTCGAGCGAAACGCTAGTTTTGCAAAAAAGCCATAATTTATTGAGGATGTCTCCAGCGAAACACTGGTTTTGCAGTGGGGGGCCAGAATTCAGAGGATGTCTCAGGCAGAATGCTTGTTTTCACTTCTCGCTCGCAGGAATTCCGAGGATGTCGTGCCGCGTCCCGCGCGCAGGAATTTCGAGGATGTCTCGACTAATTCGTTTGTTTTGCCAGGATTTCCTTGGATTTTGACAGGATGTCTCGAGCGAAACGCTTGTCCCCAGCACGTTCCGTAGCGCGTCCCCTTGGCACGTCCCGCGGTGCGACCCCATGGCACGTCCCTTGGCACGTCGCTTGTCGCGTCCCTTGAGACGTTCCGCGGCGCGTCTTCCTGGCATGTCCCCCTGTCAATTAGCTCTGGGGCAGTTACTCTGTGTTCAGGCAGCTCGAGCTTAAGATCGAGATCAGTTCGGTCAGGACTCGGATGCAAAGGAGGACTCGATCCACGAGGCTATAGAGCACAACCGCGGCATGGCGCATCGCAATTCAGCACGGCGCAGCACAGCACATATTTCGGCACGGTACATCAAGATCGATACACTCAGCATTGCAACTTGGCACGTTCCGCGGCGCGTCCCTTGGCGAGTCTCCCTGGCACGTCGCGTGGGGCGTCCCCTGGCACATCCCGTGGCACATCCATTGGCACGTTCCGTAGCGCGTCCCCTTGGCACGTCCCGCGGTGCGACCCCATGGCATGTCCCCTGGCACGTCGCCTGGCGCATCCCTTGGGACGTTTCGCGGCGCGTCCTCCTGACATGCTCCCTTGTCCATCAGCTTTGGGGCAGCTACTATGTGTTCAGGCAGCTCGAGCTTAAGATCGAGATCAGTTCGGTCAGGACTCGGATGCAAAGGAGGACTCGATCCATGACGCTATAGAGCACATTCGCGGCATGGCACATCGCAATTCAGCACGGTGCAGCACAGCACAGCCCTCGGCAGGGTACATCAAGATCGATACATTCAGCATTGCATTTGCCCGTCACCCAATCAGGTGTCTTTGAAAATGCTGCCAAGTGTTACAGTTCTATATTCCTTTCCGGGTTCGTGGGTCGATCATGTCAACCTGCAAGAGTTTCAGGGAACGAGGGCGGTTTCTGTTCAAATTATGGTTCTCGCTTTAGCGCCGCGCACTGTCGTTTTTTAAATTTGCAAGAGTTTCACGGATTCCCATGCTCAACGTACCAGAACTTGTGTTTTCAAAGGATCCAGGATTTTGAGAGCGCAACAGTGGCGTTGATTCGCGGTGTTGAAGTTCCAGGAATGGCTCTCTGGCACGATTCAGGATCGTCAAGACGCAACAGTCAGGTTCATCCGTGGCGTTGGAATCTCGAGAACAATGTTTCGGCATGTTTCAGGGTCTTCAAACGGTTGTCGTCCAACGAGGCAATTCCATCAGTGGAACTCGACCGTTGTAGGGGCCTATGAAGAGGGAGCTTGGAGGGAGGGCTCATTCATCATCGTTGATGACTCTTGGGTTTACACTGGTCCTCCTCCTTCTCCTCCTCCTCCCTCCGTAGTCATTTTGGCTTCGGCCTCGGTCCCGTGCCGTTCAGTGCCGCGCGTGTCTCCATTCGCCTGGCATCGTCCACCGACGCTCGCCCGAGCCGCGTCGCCGCCGCCGGCGTCGGACGCCCCCGCCCTGGGATTCGTCGACTGCGGCTCCGACTCGCTCCCCGTGCAGGTGCCCAGTCGGTTGGCATCAAAAGGGCGACGGCAACTGTTCGGTCTCCCGAGCTTTCGCGATCTACACACACCCGCACGGCTGGCCTGCCTGCGCATTCTGCGCGCTGCGCGAGGCCCTGCTGCGCGGCGCGGACCTGAGGCTCTTCGCGACGCCCGTCAGGTGCACCGTGCTGCAGATCGTGCTGAGCATGACTGGCATTGTGTGGGTGCAGCACGCCACGTTCGCCTCGCCGAACTTCTCCCTCGGCCTGCTGGTGGAGGTGGTGTGGCGGGTAACTCTGCGCGCGCTGTCTCCTCGTCCTCTTCGGCTCCATCCGTCGGCAGCGTGTCCTCGTCGTGGGTTCCTGGAGGTTGCTTGGTGCCCGTTCGTGCTTCTCTTCGAGAGCCCCTTTGTGCCGACCGCCTTCCTGGCTTGCCTGTTGTTCCTGCCGGGCTTGTTCTGCCATGGGCGTCGCGGCACCGATTCCCGTCGCCGAGGACGTGGTAAAGGTGCTGAAGGAGGGCGGATGAGCCTCCGCCTGGATTCCCTCTGGCGGTGTGCCCCCCCCCTCCCCCCTGGAAGAGGACGGCCCTGAGGGTGAGCAGGCGGCAGTTGCTGTTGCGGTTTCTTGATCGGCCGACGCGGAGGGCGACGAGAACGTTTCTATGACTGCTGCTGCTGCTGCTTCTAGGGTTCTAGGGGCCACCATGCTGCAGGCGAGGCTCCTGCCGCTGGCTAGATGCCGCTGGTTCGATGCTGCCACTTTCGTGGGCGCCCACTAGTTTGGGCTCGCTGGATCCTGCGGAAGGGCTCCTGTTCAGCGCATGTGCCTCCAGTGTGGCGGGCCCCACTGCTGCTGGATCGCGCGCTGGGCCTCCGCTTCTTCAGTTCATCGTTGACGACCCCGATGATGTGGGCCCTGTGGACGAGTTCGATTTCAGCGGCGTCGGCTTCTAATTGTACTCGCATGTTTGTTCTTCTGGGATGCTTCAATATTTCTGTTAATTCTGGTGTTGGGCTTGCGGCACTTTGCTTCCGTTGTGGCATGATCGTCCTTTCTCGCAGGGGGCTTGGGCTTCCTGATGCGATTCGTTCGTATTTTATGTGGCACCGTTGGCTGGCGTGATCGATCATCGCATTCGGAGTGTGTGTGTGTGTGTGTCTGTGTGTGTCTGTGTATATGTGTGTGTGTGTG